TAACTTGCTGTTAAAAAGCAGAATTGGACCCAAAACACAACAATAACCAGAAACAAACCCTACCAAGACATGGTAAGGAATTATGAAATGGAAAGTCCAGGTTTGGCAGAAAGCTCCGATCTTAAACACATTAGATGCTGCAGGATGACCTGAAACAATCTGTTTAATCCAAACACCCCTCAGACAAGACTGAGGCTACTTTTTAGTGTGTAATCAAATTGCTTTCTTTTCCAGACATACATTTATTAGATCAGACATCCATATGTAAACATTTAAAAAAAAATAATAATAAAATAAAAAAAAAAAATAAAAAAGTTGCAACCATTGCAGTGTTTTGCTCTACTTGATTACTGTTTAGAAAGAAAAAACAAAATAAAGATATATTCTATTTTCCATTTTATTACCTAATAGCGATGCCAGAATAGGTCCATCCACAGGGTCCATCAGAATAGCCTCTTTCTCGTAGAATTTACTGCAAAAAATAAGTCAAATTTGTTTTTTCTAAGAGAAACAGGAATGTTTTAACTCACCAGAATATATGCCTGAGTTTCCTCTAAACACACCTGCTGTTCTCCACCAGGTAAAGGACAATTTTATCCAGAACTTTTTCAAATAAAGCTGTTCGGATCCACAAGTTCTTGACCCCAGGAGGGTTGAGGCTCGGCAGCCGGGGCATCTTACGTAGACTGTCTTGGCTTTGCAAGCTTTGACTTCGTCTGCAGAAAACAATAAATTAATAAACAAAGCACCAGGTTTGAATAAAAACTATCGTCTGAATTTTTCCTGCATTGTTCAGAAACAGGCAGATCTTGTTGTTTCAAAGCTAGACAGGCCTTGTTACACTGCTGTGATGTGTGAGATAAGGCTTTGACGTGTGCGTCTCTCACTTTGTCTCCATCAGCTGCTCCAGCTCCTGGGCCTTCCTGCAAAGCTCTTCAGCTGGGGGGAAGCTTTTGCCCACCTTCATGAAGAGCGCCGCTATCTTGTTGCTGCGCAGAAAGCCAGCGGCTCGTCGTTTGAGCCCATGCAACACACATGCCTCCACTGCAGCTGTTTGGACAGAATGCCTTTTATTTACTAATATGTAAAACTGTGCAGCAGAGGAGTGAAGTAAAAGCACAAACA